AAAATTGCTCTTAACTAAAATTTTTGTAGAAACATCAGATAAATTCTCATCTGTGTAAACATCCGAGCTTTTCGTGTTTTTATTCATTAACTTTTTCTTTTTATAAAAACTTTAAAAGTTAAAAGAAAATTTTCTCTTCATTTTATCCTCGACGCTACATGCTATGAATTCTTGATGCGTAACATAAACATATCATAAACTCCAACTCAAGCAGCACCAAAAAGTTGTATAAATATCACAGACCATGCCTTCGGGACATTTATGTTCTATTAGGGTAAAAAAAAATCTTCGAATTATCTATCCGGTTGGGCTGGGCTTACGCGAATATATAAAGCTATGAAAAAAAAACAAAAACAAATATTTTTTGTCATTTGTAGTACATGATACCATAAACTTGGGAGTTTAAATGATGAGATACGATTCTATAAAGAAATAAAATAAACATTTATCACTTTCGGTGTGATGGAACTGCCATTATATTACGTTGACTTTGGCATGAGACTTTAAGCGTGCTGTATTATCTTAAATGTCCGGCACTCGCTGAAGAATAAGATTATTGTGTATGGAAGACGATGAGAGAGAGAAATAGAAAAAAAAACTAGTTCTAAAGAGCGACACACAATCATCACATTGTCGTCTTTAATATGGATAAAATTATGTAAATTGTATCCGCTTCTTCGCATTTGATAAATAATTATAATTCGCCTTCTTTTTTTTTTTATTCTCTAAGCTGCCTTTTGCATTCGTCTCTCCCCGAATTGTTCAGCAGCTATTAATGCTCATTTATTAAATATAGCATCTAAATAAACTCTTAATAAATGTAAGAAAAAGAGCAGTCTTATATAACTTTTGCCATTCCCGATATTTTATACGAGATAAAAAAATTAAAGATTCTAAGTTGATTGAATTGTACAATCATCGTTCAACAAATGACTAAATGACACAAAGTAGACACTGCCTAATAAGCAAACGTCTGGGTGTTTTTGTCATTTTTCATACACCATCTTTTGAAAATTGAATCTTACGATTTGTAATCTTTAACAAACATAATTCATACATGATGGGAAGCTATTAATAATGTCTATAATCTGTTATAAGTTTCCCACATGAATCGATGGCAAATTCCATCTCAATAACACTTTTTTTCACGGTCAACTGTTGCATTTGTTATGTAATGATAAAGATATAATAATTTATTCCATATCAACCATGACCCAGAGCAATTTTTTCTCTCACTCACTCATCATCATCAACATAATTTGGCCACCAGACTTGCTGGTTTTCTTTTCTGGCTTCTTTTTTTTTGGTAGGAGCGAGAAAGAAGAAAACAATTTATCAGATATGCTAAGGCGAAAACCCTTTCAATGACAAAAAACCGATTAACATTCCAAAATGAATGAGATTTTTTATTCCGGTCGACGGAAGAAAATAGAAGAAGAAGTGGTTGTTGGAAGTAAAAGTTTTAAAAAAAACTGGTTCATCTTTAAAGTTTTGTCTTGAATGAGTAAGATTTAAAAGTTCAAAGCGCAGATTCTTAGTTATTTGATTGGATTGATAAACATCCAGGATTTTTATAAGGTCAAAACTAATCATCCCTTTGGGTTTTTTTTCATAATCAAAATTCACGGAATTTTAATTTATTTTCCTCTAATCAAAACAACAAGATTTGACAAATTTATCTTCATTTCTCTGGCGTCTCCAATATTCTAATTTATTTTAATTATTATCATATATTTTAATCTGTGATTTCCAATTCCCAAACTTATTAATAATCAGCTGAGTTTTACTAGGAAAAAAAAAATCTAATCACTGAGTCAGTCTATGACTAAACTTTATTCTTGACTCATTCTTTCCTTTCACTTAATGCATTCAAAGAAATAAACAGGATTGCTTCAGTGTCAAGCAAATTTATGGATTTGGACACCTTAACGACTAATTTATATTGAGCTGATGAAATACAACACAATTGGTAAAAATCAGTAGCTCGAAAAAAAAGTTTTTGAGATTTTTTGTCATTTCGATTCAACTCTTCCGCCTTCCAGTCAGACAAAGTAAAATTTATAGTATTTTTTTTTTGTTAAATCCCAAAACTCGCTACAAATCTATTTATTACTCACATGCTCATCCAAACACATCGACACAGCTAGAGAACTAGACACAGCACATTGAAATCCACGCTTAAATACTATTTGCTCATTTATTGATGACTTTGTTAATTAATTTGTTATCGATAGTATTGTCGTAAAAATGCTAAATTTATGTGGCGCTTCTTTTTAGTTTCATAAAGACAGGAATATAATGATTTGCTGATTTTTTTTCTATCTTTTGTTTAAGTTGTTGTTTTTGTTTTTATGTTGTTAAAAAGTTTTTTTTTTGCTTCTAGCAGTGTTGTAGCTGATATTTGGCTTGGTTTAACAATTATTTGGTTTATTTAATTCAAATAAGGTTGAAAATAATGAACTTCAAAGATTAAGACTTATTACTCAAGTCATTTCTTAGCTTTACGCCATTAATGACACCAGCTAGAATTTAAGTCTACTATAGTCGCTTAGACAACAAAATTCTATTTTGAGGATTGGAAGTAATGGCAAGATTAGGATAAGTCTCAAAAAGAACTTAAAATTCTGAATTTAATCTTTGGAACCGATTTCTTGTGCTTCTCGAGGCTCTAGAGCTTGGAAATCCATATTAGATTTGCAAAGTATAAATAAAACTTTAGTATGACTAGGTTGACCCCAAAAACCAGATAGCCAAACATCTAAACAAAAAACACTGCTTTTTATCCGTGAGCTTCAAACTTCGAACCGTGTTTAATTTCCATAAAGATTAATATACACTAAGCTTTAAATATAAATAAATAAATATATTTTAATAGGTGTAAAATATTTTATTGATCTAACATCCACTGTTAAGAAGTATTATAGCCGTTGTCTTGCAATTTTCACGTAAAAGAAAAAAAAATATTAATGTAAGTATGATCCTATGAGGCGAAGAATTTATAAGAAATTTAATGGCTTTCATTCCACAAAATAAAAATTGATTCCTCATTTCCATATCATTAAAGAGCCCATGAATGTTTTTTGTAGACAAAAAGGTTTGCGATTTTTTTTAAAGAAAGACAGCAAAATAAAGAAATTTTTTGAGTTTCTTAAACAATAAAATTCGGATTTTTCTAATTAATATGCAGAAGAATAAAGAAAACGGATCTAAAGAACCCTAACATGTGTGTGTGTAATTTGAGCGCATTTTTAATATTCTACGTATTCTGAAATGTATAACTTACTTGAATAAAATCCACGGTAATAAAACTTATACAGAAGAGTCTGCATTGATGAAGCTTCAATTTTGAGTTTTCTAGATCGCGTTGTAGATGTAAGCTATGGAAAGACTTTATATTCTGAATAAATTTAATTTAATGACTTGATAGGTACCCATATCAATTTTGTGCAATATTGGGTAATTTGAGATACTCATCTCGAATAAAAATATACTTTTTTGAAAAGTTAAGTGGATATTTGAGCATGTATATATTTTGATACTTTTTGAAGCATGTCCTTAAACATTTAAAAGCTTTTAAAGTTTTTTTGAAGACTATTTAGATTTGAATTAATTCTTTAAGTCTCAAAGCTTTAAAAAGAAATAAGATTAAAGATAATTAAATTTATTTTTCATGTGAAATTCTTTTGAAATTACAAGTTAATCAAATTATGAAATGAGATTGCTTCTGTGTACTGTTTATGGTTCTTTGATGAATCGTTTATATCCTGTTGCGTTAGTAATTGAGTTTTACAGAATGTCTTGATAAGTAATAAAGAGACTTTTTTTGTGCATTTTTATTATATTTTTAAGACGCATTCATTCATCAATTCCTTTAAGGAAATCTGTATTTTTTCATAAAAATCAAGTATTTTCTGATTCGCATAACTGTTTGGGATTGGAAAAACTTTATTGTAATAGAGTTTTTATGCAGATCGAGAACATTCTGTTAAGTAATAATGAAAGATTGGTCATTAATAGCGATAGACCACACGTTCTTATTTAATATAAAACAACCGAGTTCTAGACATTGAGTTTTGACGCTAACCTATATCTCTCACTCTATTTAGGTACCACAAAAGGCAAATAATACCAATAATAGCTTCACTCAGCTTAGGTTTAAATTTAAAGTTATTTGTTATTAAAATTCCACACAAAAATTCATAGAATTTGACACCACGTGGTCTAGATGTTATCAAAATTCATTAGAGTATCCTCGCGTGTGATAGAATGCATACAATAACACCATTTTTGGAAGAAAAAATGTGTCAAAATTAATTAAAAACGTATCAGACGCGATCCATTAAAGATCTACACAAAAGGTAGATTTTGTCGACACATAAAAACGTTGATAGCGGAACAGCACAAAGACGACGGCGTCAAGAGAGATGAAAAAAAAGGAATTTGATTCTTAAATTTCCAATATTTTGCTATAAATTAATAATTGATTGAAACGTGAGAACAAGTCAACGCTATTTATTTTTTTATGATGATGTAGCATGATGTGGATAAAAAAAGAAGGGGAGAGAATAAAGCAATTTTTGAAACTGCCCATTAAATTCATCACTTCTAAATTGCTGATTTATATAAAGCTGATTTTCCATATTTTCTTTTTAATGTTTCAATAAATGTTCCTAGATACTCAATAAAGGTCGTAACTTAGACGCCAATATGCGAAGTATAAAAGCGTGCGCGCATCCGTGTAGAGAGGCTTCTTGATTATTTTATTGATATTTTTGTATATATAGGCCGCCCAAGAAGTGGATTAATCGGTTGAAAACGTCAAGCGAGAATATCAAGGCATAAACAATAGAAAGAGCTCCGGTATTATACAAATCATATATTATGCACATACTAAATAAGAATAGTAGATTCATCTTCATCGGCAGCAAGCTTAAAAACTATTTTTAACGAAGTAAGAAAATAATAAAAAATAATAATATTATTCTTTGATTATCTTCCAGGTTTGGGATTGTTATTGCTGATTTTTATCATCAGTGTGTCTGAGACAGCAAAATCTAGTGCCAAAAATGGTCAAAGTCTTAAAAGTTGGCTTCGTTCCATGAGGCCAAAGAGGTGAGATAATCATATGCTTAATTGCACTATCATCCGGTTATGGACTCATGAATATCTCACCATTATTTTATTATTAATGCTCTGCTTTTCCTTTTATGGCATGGTCTACTAGAAATGAAAATTCGTTGGCTTCTGATCGTATTTGGACGTTGGCAGACGCTCTTCCGGGTGAGCCAGGTCGTGACTATCCGATTTTTGCAACAGCTCCTGAAACGGGATTTTCTTGTGATGATAAACATTATGGTAAAGATTTATTTATTTCTGTTTTCTTGACAATATGATATTAACAATATAGTCATGTGTATGTTTATTTAGTCTTTTTTTTCTGTGCTTCGCATCATCTTCTCTTTTGTTATGTGATAAGTGGATTAAAATTTTTTCACCATGTAGATTTTTGTTAAAGTCTCGAAATGATTAATTTGTCTGCGCCGTTTGATATTAACACTAAATATATTATTTTATTATTATTGAATATATAGGATATTATGCTGACATCGAAGCGCGCTGTCAAGTCTTTCATATCTGCGCAAATACAGCTGGATCGTCTAAAGGATTTGAATTCTTATGCCCGAATGGAACCCTTTTCAATCAAAGTAATAATCCTTTATTATCCAAAACTATTTATTTATAACTAATTCCTTATTTTATTTCTTATTAATTTAGGATTTTTCGTATGCGATTGGTATATGAACGTTGATTGTGAAGGTAGCGATAAATACTTTAATCTCAATGATCTTATTGGAGATTCAATGAATGGTTTTACACATAATGATATCATGAGTACAGCTAAAGACATGATGATGTTTACACGACCATCGAAAAATGGATTAGGAGGTGGGGGATCTAATTCAGGTCCAGGTAAAGGTGATAAACTTAATGGCGAAGATTCTAATAATCGAAGAAATGGTGGTAGCTCAAATAATCGTCCCTCTGAAAATGCTGGAGGTCCTTCAAATGGAAATCGTCCATCGACAAGTGGAACAAATGCTGGTAATGGAAATGTACCACTTCGTGGAAGTGCAAACTTAGCTCAACCTACAGCAGGAGGTCAACCAGGATATTCTGGCAATGGTAATCAACAAAATGGTCCACAAGGCTCATCTGGCAAAACTCCATACGGAAACGGTGGTCCACAAGGTGGTTTAGGAAGTCAAGGAGGCAAAGGAGGTCAAGGTGGACAAGGTGGTAAAGGAAATCAAGGAGGTTTAGGCAGTCAAGGCAATGGACAAGGTACAAAGCAAGGAAGTGGACAAGGTAACCCACAACGTGGCTCACAAGCAAATCCTCAAGGTGGTTTACAAAGTCGTCCACAAGGTAGCACACAAGCAGGTCCTCAAAATGGTTTACAAGGCGGTCCTCAAGGTAGTTCACAAAGTTCTCCACAACCAGGTTCACCAAATGGTCAAAAAGGAAGCCAAAAGGGAAGTCAAACAGATCCACAAGGTGGATTACAAGGTTCTCAAGGTATTCCCCAAAGCGGATCACAAAATGGTTTATCAGGCGGTCCTCAGCGAGGTGCAAATACTCCAACAGTTTACGTCAACAACTTAGGACAATTATCAACAGACAACGGCTCAGGATTTGATCCAAAGCATTCATTCATTTTACGTCCTGACAAAGATTCAAATTTCGATCAAGACCCGAGAATCCCAAGTAATTCATTTGATATATTGAAAGGAATTGAAAATAGTTATAGTTTTGGATTTCCAGATGATATCAACCCACCATTGAGAGGTTCAGCTGATCTTTCAGAACCTGTCGATTTATCAATTTATGGACCAACTGCTGGAAACCCAGCTTTAAATGGCAATCGTAAGCAAATATATACTTATCCACATGATCAAAATGGAATCTCTCCAGAGCAGCAAGGGCAGTTGAATACAAAATTATCAGCGCAAGCTCCAAAATATCCGGCAGCACAAGTTTATGGACCAGCTATTACTCAGCCTGGTCAGTTTAGTCCTTCATCTGGTCCATCATCATCGTCAGCGCAAGGATATCCACAAGAAGATTATAGAGTTCCGTCATCACAGCCAATTCCTCAAACTAGTTCTCAACGTGGTCCATCAACATACCCAGGGTCTAATGGAAATACTGTAGCACAAAATCCTAATTATCCTTCGACACAAAGGGGTCCCTCTCCACAAGCTGGTCAAGGATATCCGAGCTCACAAGGAAATGGTGTGCCTCAAAGAACACAATATCCAAGTCAACAGAGAGTTCCTTCATCACAAGGTGTACAAAAAGGACAGAGCAATGGTCAGCGAGGTCCAGCTCCATCATCTCAATCACATCAACAAAATCCACTCACTCAACCACAAAGAACTTCATCAATTCCATCAAGTCAATCACAAAAACCACAAAAGGCTTTGCCATCTTCTTATCAGCCCACACAACCTCGTGTAGACACTCCACATAGACTGTATCAACAACCACATGCTCAAGGTCCATCTTCAATTGGACAACAGTCATTTACACCAAACTCAAATCAACAACAGGCTTTTATACCAAGTTCAAATGGACAACAGTCATATGCACCAAACTCAAATCAACAACAGACGCAAAGGAGACAGTTTGATACAATTCCAGATAATAGACACTTTTATCAAGCTCCAAATCATGGTGGTAAGAGCCATGGCCCATCACAATCTAATGAAGAATATTTGAGAGTTGTATTAAAAGACAAAAATCATGTACATAATGATAATATGCAACTTATAGAATTAATTCAACGATTCTTTGTGCCTCAACATACAAAAACGAGAGTGGTTAGTGCAGAAGTGCATCCATCACAAGCTCAAGAGAGTTATTCATTTACGTACGATGGAAATGGTGCAGCAACAAATACAAGAAATAATTATCAACCATTAAGTCATTCGGGGTATCATCAGCATTCAAACAACTGTGGACATCAAGGCTATTAAAAAAAGACATTTTTTAATAGAGCAAATCAACACGATAAACACGCTTCATGCATAGCTTATTATGTTAAATGATTGTCAAATTACAAGCTCATAATTCTTCAATATTTCTTATTTCATCTCGCATCTCTTTAAGACTATCCACTTGGAAAATTTATTTATCATATTTTTTTGCTATTTGACTATATGGGGTTTCGATGACTACTCGTCGGAACCAGAAGATGAACAACAAGCAGACACGAAAAAGAAATAAACACGAGTTTATTAAGTTTAAAGCGATAGTAAATTAACATTCGATTAAGATTTAAATTTAAATTTAAAGAAGAAAAAAAAAAGAATTATGACAAATGTGTGCAAAGTTAATAATTTATTAATGCTTTTATCAGCTGAGAAGTGAATATTGAACTCGTTTTCGAATAATTTATGTATGAGCACAATGATAGTTTTTTTAAGTTTAAGTTGAACGAGAAAAAAAAAAATAATCATAATATTATTGATACGAATAGCACACGGATAAAATAAACGGAAGTCGAATATATGTAGATATACACCAGCTATCGTGTATACTACAACTCATAAAGTCAACACTGACTGCCAGAGTTCAAATAACTTCTTTTTTCTTCTACTTCAGATGTTAAGATTAATATTAATATTATTTATTGGACGTGGCGGCATTTGAAACACAGTCGATCTGATGAATATATCTATAGATATTCGAAGAGCGTTTTGCAGAAAATCCATTATACGGAGAGTAAAGATGTTAATTTATTGTGAATTAATTAAATTAAATATTTTATATTTGAATTTGCATCATAAAATATATAATAATATTCTCTGTCCTATACCAATTTTCGTTGTTTCCAAACTCCTTCTCTTATGATGTTAAAATAGGAATAATGATAAAATGTATCCGTAATGAGTGACTAGAACGCATTCTTAGACATTTCTTAAGGAGTTTATTGATTTTTTGACATGCATCGATCATTTAATTGGATTTTGATGATGAAACAAATGTGGAGTGGCTTAAAACTATAATTTTCGGTTTATGTCTGATTTATTTATAAAGCATTTTCAATTTTCAGACTGTAATGACTGACTGTTGTCAGAAAATCAATCCAAGTAGATCAGCTATAAGATTAGAACATCTCCAAAGTTCACTTGCCCTTATTCGAATCTTTCTAATACTTTAACCTGTTGTTTTATCGCCAAATTACTATGTTTGGTATCAGACTGAATATGTAGGTTCTGGGAAAAAAACGTGTAACCTTTGAGCCTTTATGAATTCAGCATTGCTGCAAGTTTGATTAAATCTTACTTTTTAATTTTATGATTACGGATGCTTAATATCTGACTTGTTTGACAGATGTAAAAACATGCATTAATGTAAATCGGTTTTAGAACTCTCAAAACCAAACTTCAAACAATTTAAATTTATTTTCTAAACAAAATCCACTCCTATCAATACTGTTACAAAAGTCAAACCTAACCAAAATGATGACAGCAGCAGATTTACCACTCCAAAATGCGGAAAAAAGACAGTAGTATAGTTTGATATACATAATACTCTTTGACATAGCATTAAATCTTCAATATAAATCCTTCTATCACTTTTATTATCAAACTTTTTTTGTGTCATAATGTATATCTAATTGAAAAACTTTTTGTGCATGTTATTATACTTAATTATTATTATTACTATTGTATATTATTTTTAGAATACATTTAATCACGACTACATGGTCTGATATTCCTGTAAAAATCATTTCTTATTTAAAAATGAATAAAAAAAACTTAAAGGATGAGAAAAATATTCCACAAATTTTTCCGTTTTCTCTTTCTCTTTTGCTCCAGTGAGGAAAAATCAACACGTAAATATGTGAGGAGCAGTCACCAATGAAGTAGAAAAAAATGAGAAAATATCGTGTCACACTCCAAATACTAGAAAATAGTAGTATTTTTGTATAAAAAATTTCACACACAAATTCAAAATTTTCATTCAGAAAGCCAGACAGAGATGTAGCGAGGATATTCTCGTGATTTTCTTATTTAACTGTCCAGCATCTATACTTGCAAAAACAGAAAACTTCCGATTCACACGATATTTAAATATTGATTCGGTAATTCAAAATACATAAGTACGATATAATGAATTATAAAGTCTAAAGTATTAAACTTTAAGCTTAAAATTATTTTATTTATTCTCTGAGAGAATGGAGCGCATGCTCTAAAGATGCTTGAATCGATAATCATTGTGTAACCTCGTACTCGACAATTTTTCCATTCTATTCTGCATTTCTTTTTTTCCTCTCTTCTCATTTCGAAAAGATTTCTCGAGCCGGTGAGTCAAAAGTTAGACAAAAGTCGAACACGGAGGATGTGAAAACTTAATCTGCCAAGAAACAAAAAAAGAAAAGAAAAGAAAAAAAGCTTGTGTGTAAAAAGAGTGTCTGGCAAAAAAAGAGGGTAAAAAAGAATCAACCTGTTTAAAAGTGAATTGTTTTAGTGACACTTGAATGGAAAGAATATGATTTTTTTGTCGTGTTTACGAGTGCCGTAAAATCGCCTGATAATATTTCAATCAATATTTTTTCACACTATTATCTCTAAACTATTAATGATATGTGAATCAATACATGTAGATGAGAGAATAATTATGTTCAAAAAAAAATGTTAATTACGAGTGCATGAAAAAAAAATCCTTTTTGCAATGAAGAAATAAGTAAATGAGAAAAAAAAAGTGAAGTGGAATAAATGCACACAGGGAGATATCTAGGATGAATGAATGAGTTGCTGTGTCATAATACTGCATATTGAAATTTTTCTCCTTGCCTGCAATTACGTCAAGTACTCTTTTGTGGAATTCTCTTGAATAACGCGTCAGAACAGAATATTAAAAATCAGCATACGCTCTATATAACTATATCATAGAGATATAAAGAAACAGGAGATTTATTCATTTCTGATTAAAGGTATTGATTTTCTGTTTATTTCTATGCAAAAAAAAATTATTATTATTTTTCCTTGCTTCTCTTTATCATTTTCGTCTTCGTCTTGCTTAACTGCTATTTTTTAAAAAATATTTTTGTTATATGAATGAGCTTGATGAATGGAATTGACTTTCAAAGACTGACAAGACAAGACAGAAGCTTCAGAGAATGTTTTTTAAAAAATGAAATTTAAATTTTTTCCTTAATAAAATAAATTTGCCATTCACTTTCAATAAAAACAAACACCAATCATGATTATATATATGATATGCATAGAGCGAGAGATAACTTGTTAATAATCATCAAGAAAATTTAGCGATGTTTTTGAGCTGTCTCATCATATTAATGTTGTAACAAATTTTTATGATGGGATGAAAATGGATTTAGATAAAGTTTTTTTTGATGATGTAGAAAATAAGTACAAGGTTCTTTCACTTCGTAATGAGTGAGGATTGAGACGTGTTCATAAAATTAATCCGTTAGAAACAACAGCAAAGTAATTTTGAAGATGAGAATGTTGATCTCGAAACTATAGAGGACTGAAAGCATAAACAACTCTATTTATACCTTAATTATTTTCTTGTTTTGTATGGTTATGGTGAATATGTGATTAGGTTTCGTTGGGACATACTAAATTGAATTATTTATGATATTTTATTACTTAAAGATTTACTTTTCATTAGAAAGTATTTTTTTGGATACTCTAGAAATTTTTCAATGATAATTGAATCGAATGACTGCTTACTTTATAAATGAAAGTCTCATTGGACTCCTTCATGGAGAACTTAAGTTTAGAAATTCCTTAATCTTTGATCAACGTGACAATTTTTCTTCTTTTGAGTTCAAAACTGAACTACTTCCCTTGCTTTTAAAACCAACTTGAATCAGGTTCATTGATGTCTACATAGTTCCTTAAACTTTTTAATTACATCTACTATTTCAAATTGCTTAGTAAATTCCTATGTACCATATATGAATTCCATCACAGTCTCTCTCATCCAGCATATAAATAAAAAATCTCATGCGAAAAATTCATTTCACTTCCAAAATACAGAATACAGCAGCTGTTTCGTAAAATTCTTTTTCCTTTTCCATTGAAAGCTTTAATAATTAAATTTCTGTCATGGCAATTAAGATGATTAAAAATAAGATACGTTTGATCTTGTATTAATTAATATTGATGTATTTAAAATTCATTTAGGGCATCAATTTTAGAAATTTGAGTTCCATGTGACAACTTTGCATACAATTGTTTTCTAGCTTGAAGGTTGAATTTTATTTGATTGGATGTTGATGTTGATTTTAATGATTTGGTAAATATTTAATTTTGAGTCATCACCATTGGCATAGCAAGGGTTTTTTTTTGTCAGTATAGATTGTTCAGGAATTTTGTTCATTCATGAGCTTTACGCCAAAAGTAGCGGCTTAGTTGAAATATCCAAAAAGTATTTTGATCCTTAACAACCATTTATGCTTAAGACTGAACAAGTTAATATATATACTTTATCTGGCTGGATTTTTTATCCAAGAATCTGATGTTATGAATTCATTTCAAGAAGATGAACGGAAATTGCCTATTTTCTTCTCATTGAATAAAGAAATTTAGGCACAAAAAAAGAATTGTTCACATGAATTGTTCCAGATTGCTGCTTGCTATTCAATTGATGGTTAAAGCAATCAAACAAGTTTTAAAAGCTTCAGTTAGAAAACAATCTGCGATCCCGAAATTTTTCAGATAAATTTTTATGGTCACCCAATGAATGTATATCCTATAATTAGACAAAAATATCTTTTGCATGGCTTCAGATAAAATCACATTTTCGTCCGCATTTACTTACGAAGTGATAAAATCCGAAGAAACATGTTTGTTGTATGAAAAAAATTCTTTTTATGCTTCCTTGATCTTTCATCAGAATTACTTTGTTGTTGTTGTTTTTTTTTGCATCTTGTACAACATTTAGGGTGAGTAAAAAGAAGACATTTTGTTCATCGTAAAAAAGGAACTCTTAATTGGAGTTATTTGTGCGTGGGATATTTATTTAATAACGTTCTTTGAACGACGCTTAATGTTACGATAAAGAAAGAAGGCAAAGTACAAAATGAGCAAATATTTCGTAGTTGAAATAGCTTTGATAACATTGTACGGCTCGATGGGTTGAAGAGAAATGAAAAAAAAAAAATTGGGGATAAAAGTATTTTTCTTAATGAACATGATAATTATGAGGAGGAAAAAAAAATTCCAAATAGCGAGAAGCTATTTTCCCATCTCACAAAGTTCATACCCTCCCTTCAAAGAAAATGTTAATTCTCATAATAGAAATGCGTAAGATTTTTCAGCACATTACCAAATTCAAATTAGACAAATTAACGCCCTGGAAACCAAGAGAACTACAATAATAATTATTTACCTTATTTCCATTTCATTTACTCTCTTGCTAACCTTTAAAAGTTATCATAAGCTTAAAGTATTTCTAAAAGTTCAAAACAATAAGGTAGTGGAGTAAATTGAACCCACAGAAATACTTTTAATTATCCTTGAGTAGAATTTTAATGCAAACAAAATGCTTATACGAGATAAAGAAAACTACTTATGGTCGAGCTTTCTTACAAGTCAAATAAAGAATCTTTATTCCTTCCAATATCCATTCACACAAATGATTCTTCTTGGCGTTCGGACATGTAAACTTTTGTTAATTCTCCAATAAAGAAGAATCACCCCATATGAAAATAGACAAGCTGGAATGTTGGAACTGGGTTTGGGATTTTTTGTAGCGCATTTTTGTTGGAATTATTTTTAAAACAAACTAAACTTCGTGAGAAATTGTGAAGCTGGAATTTATTTGCATCCTTTGTATCATTGTCGTCACAGTTTCACAGTATTCGTGTCCATGGTGATAACAGGACGATAGCGTGGGATTATCATGTAAACAATCTTGTCGCTAAGAAACGAGGTTTTTTTTGTCAGATTCGTTTAGTTTTGATTTTTGTTTTTGAGTTTTGTTGGATGAAAAATATCCTTTTAATGCTTTGAGGGTTTCATTAAAAGTTTATCTTGAATCTATGAACCAGTGGTTCACAAATCAGGTGCCCAGATTCAGTTTTATTTAAAAACCAAAATTAAGAATAATCTTGTCCAATTTAAGCATAGACATTGAAATTCAAGACCATTTAAAATATCCAATTCTTAAACATTGAGTGCCATAAATTTTAAATGTTCGAGCAACACTGAGTACTGCTCTTAGCTGATTCCATTTGATGATTGCCATTTTATCTCAACTAAATGGATCAAATTTCATTTAATCAGAATTCTTTTATCCTTTAATTCAATTTATTACGCACAAATTTATCAGGCAGTTCCATCAAACTAATAATAGTGACAAAACAACAGCACTTTTATAAAAGGATGTTAAAAATTTGCTTTTACGAAAAATAAAAAAAAAAATATTAGAGTAAATTGAAGGTGATTAGTTTTGGGTTCAACCCACTAAAAGGTTTCATACATAAATATGCTCTTCTCATTCATACTATAATATGATAAGATGGGTTTAAGTGGTTATAGTCACTATATATTTTCGATTTGTTTGTACAAGGCAAAGATATAACTTGAGATAATAATGTGCCGCAAAAGCGTTGAGAATTTTAAGTAATCAAGTCTATGATTTTTTGTTTTCGAGATATGAGAGCAATGCATTTAAATAAGAGATTATTATTTACCTAGCTTGAGCATAGAGCAAAATAAAGTTATAAATATTTTAAGCAAAGAGAGAAGTGAACAAAAATTTATTATTTTCTTCTCTTTATCAAACAAAAATAATTCATAACGTTTTCTTG